ATGTGAGGTAACTGTTATCTTCCAAGATGTCAGGAGAAGAGCAAAGGCTAGGAATACATGGACCACATGATCATCATCATCTCATGAATACACCGCGGATGTGTTGTTTTCCTCAGCGGCAGTGCTTTTGGCTTAAACTTGTCTTTAGGGGATCTGCATACTTTAACAAAGTGGTTCTCCGTCATTATACAGTTTTCAATAGGTACCTAGCCTGGTTTTTTGGCAGGCCTTGCAAGCATATTTTGGGGCACCACACACCACCACACCAGTTGCGCTGTGAAATTATCGAATCTAACCTGTAGATATTATCATCATCATCGTTAAAGGGTTTTATGGAGGGTTGGTGTCAAGGTTGGCAGAGCGCACGGCGTCCATGCACTTGAGAAGGAAAAACCACATTTCGGGCATTCATTGTTCTTGCCCCTTGCAGTCCATTTGCCACACACGTTCTCTGAAAACATTAAAGGGTTTTACTCCGGTGTGTTACAGACAGAGGGCCTAACAGAAGTTAATAAGAGTTTGCTCGCAGGCTAAGAGAATGGGAAAGCTGTGTCCCGAAAACTGAAGCAGTGGAAGTGGCTACTCCATGCAGAATAATTTTGAGCGAAATTTGATAATAACAGCGTGACTAAAATGGTGATGACCTGACCGCCTAAAAGGTTTATGAAAGCGATTGCAGAAATAGGGAAGACTACAACAGTTGTGCAAAAAGCAGGTAGAGATAAATCAAGCTGAAATTACCGTCACTCATCCCTGCACTCATGCATCGAATGTGACAACGTGCTTCCATTACCGGTTACAACAAACTTAACGAACACCCAAATGGAGAGGACCCACTTCAGTGAATAAAACTGAAATCTCAGACACAACTTTTAAATATTAAAGAAAGTCCAAGATTTAAGCCACAAAAAATGAAGAAACAACCACTCCGACGCAAAGTAGACTGTATATACGCAAATGTACTTTCGATTCTCTCGAGTGAAGCGAACGAGGCGGGCCGTTTGGGCCGCATTGAATGCTGTGTATTGATTGATTCGGTACAGTCCGGTACGGAAACTGTCTCATCGAAGCAAAGATAGCCAATCAGAGAGCCGTTTTGGAATGGTGCTGGTCAACTGCAGTTGTTGTGAGCAGCCTCCAGGGACTTTGCTCTGCCAAGTTAATCCTCAAATAGCAATGGTGTTTTCCCGTCTTCTTTAATACATTTTTTTTTTTCATTTATTTCTTAATTAGTAAAGGTGATGGAGCAGTTCTTTTAGGTCCTTGTTATGGACACCAGTCCAGGCCCTGTTGATATACCCATGGCTGTTGTTTCTAGGGGTCGGCTTGCTAAAAATTGTGATGTCGAAGACTTTCAGGACGTCATCCGCATCGCAAAAGTAAGGTAGAAACCCTCGACTTACCTTTGAGCCTTTTTTGCAAGCCAGTAGTCTGGGAACTTTGGAAGTTTGCTATCAGCCCTTCAGTTTCTTTGTAAGAGACACCAAGTGTTAAATTTTCGGCACCATATCCTTAAACTTGCTTTGTTGGTCATGGGCATTGTTGAGAGCACTATTTTAGTAATGTGCCGGTCTTTGTTTTTCTGTGTGTTTTGCTGTTGTTTTTGCTTGGTTCAATTCGATTCGCGTTCATTCAACAGCGTACGTCACAGGAAAAAAATATCTAAAACAGACATGGACTGAATTAAGTTAAACGGCCTAGTTTTCATACAAGACAACAATCTTTCAAATTGTGCAAAACAACCCTGTTTATCATTCAATGCAAATTTTTCTTCCTATTCATTGGCCGAAATCCCACCAAGTGACTGCCTACAAATAATGGTCTGCTCATGCGCAATGTCGTCCAACAGTGTTTGGCTGCAAATAATTTTCTGCTCATCGACATGCGTAAACGAAACCACGCTTTTCTAATCTAGCGATCGCTCTGACGTGAAAAATGGCAGCTTCGGCTTCGGCAAATAATTGATCTGCTCGCCACTGACAAGTCACGATATTTTGCTCAACCTCGTCCCATAATTGTTAATTACTTGATCGATCCTCAGAATTTTCAACAACACGTAAACGACACTAAATCTGTTTGCGAAAAATAGCATATATATTCATTTTCCTTCGTTTTTACTTCTTTTATGAGACAGACGTACAATAATAGAATACTCTAGCATAGGATGATCCCCGGCCTCAAGAAATTTCTCTCCTTTTTATCTTTTTTTCTCTTTTCAAATTAGCTCAAATTTTATCAGTTATTTTGCTCTTCTGATATTTAAGAGACCCAGCTTTATTTTCAGGCCCTTTTTGGCTTCATTCGTCATTAAATTCGATTATTTGCAAATTATGAAAGAAAACTGGTGACATGAAAATTGGCTGGTTTAGTATGTCAAAATCCCATTAACTTCTCACCCCCGCAAAGCTAGCAAGATGTTTCGAGAATGCATTTATGTCCACTAACGTGACACAGGAATTAAACTTTGATAAAGTAAATTTTTGTTTACTGAATTTTAATACTTTCTGAGAAAAGGTTTTTTATAGCATATAGTGCGAAACACCTTTAAGAACTATTAACACCGACTTATCATACCCACCTGCAACGGGTTTTATTTAAAACCCCTTTAATAGGAAACCATGATAGACAAAATATTTGGAAGATTAAGAAAATGAGATATTCTTTAAGTATAAGACGCAGGAGAATGACCACTTTTTTTTAATATTTATAGTCTTCTTCAGTGTATTTTGAATTTCCTTCAATAAACTAAAGCTACCTTAGAAGGCAATGTAAATATATCTCCCGGTAATTTACACTGTTTGGGGGACGGACTTTATGCCATTACATATTGTTGTAGCGAAGTTTAAATTAATGAAGTAATAAGTTATGATTATAAAAGTGAATTTACATAAAACCAATTCAACGGGGACTTAGTCCAACTCTTTTCGAACATTGTGTGTTTTTTTTTTTTTTTTTTACTTTTCCAAGAACTTTATATATAAGCAAAGATTGTAAAGCGGGGAGTACGGTTTATCGTCCTTTATCTGAAACGACTAGAAAGTCAAGCCATTTTCAGCTATTAATAGGTAGTATTTTCTCCTTAAAAAGACCCTGTTGTTCGGTTCGGCCTTCAGGTTTCAGTGAAATGTGTTAGGTAATAGTATGTCACTTGGTGCTTTTAAAATGAGTGATAACAGGAACGTGTTTAGTAGATATTCTCTAAAATAAAGTAAGCTAAGAAATTAGCTGTATGGGAAAAAACTTTTAGACTGAGGGAAGCGTTGCCGTGGCTAAAAGAAATAAATTCGAAATTTACTCCAGCCCTTCTTTTTACTTTTAGGCGAGGAATTTCTTTAGAAACTAAATTTGCCAAAGACTTACTAATAGATTCATTGTCGGTTCGCTCAATTATGTTTAAATTTGTTATCTTTTTTTAAATCGATTACTAAGAACTATGTATCAATTTAACTTCACGAATAAATCGTAAGAAAAAAAATCATTCTTACCTGTTTTTAACTAAAGTGAACAATTTCAACTTTCAAATGCAATCGATGTAGTCACGGTTACAAACTTTCGTGCGAATAAACTTGTTTTTCTTCGTGGCTTCAAAGCCATTTGTAGCAGCGGAGACGTCAGTAGCTAAAGCATATCATGCAAATAAAATTATGAAACTCCTGACATGAATTATCTGGCAGGTGAAGCATATATCATGTCAGTAAGAAAGTATACGTAAGAATATTTCTGGCTTATTTAGGGTCTCACTTACGATCTCTCGATGCGACACGTGCCGCGCAGAGAAAATGGAAACAAAAACAATCAATCAAAATAAAGAGTCTGAAGAGTAACTAACTAACGAATTGCTCAAGTTTTTTCCGTTACTAGTTAAATTTTTTTTTTTTTGCTTTTTAAAACTTCCTAACAAGCAGCAGTCTTTAAGCTCCGCAGGGACATATTCTTGCCGCAGGCCTAAACTCTGTGGGAGTTCGTTGCTCTGGATTTATAAGAGAATGTATAAAAATTAACAAAATGCGTTCCAAATTCCATTTTTTGCCAAAAATAGATATAAAAATGACTTATCTTGTGTTTTTGTTTTGTTTTTTACTGTCTCTTCGCCTCTAGAGCCATTTGGAAGTCGTTTTACAACTCAAAATCTTAAACGTCGATAAAACAAAACGGCTTCCAAATGGCTCCAGAGGCGAAGAGACAGTTAAAAAAAAGCACAAGGTAAGTCATTTTCATTTCTATTTTTTTCAAGGAATGGAAGTTAGGACGTATTTTGTTTATTTTCGTACTCAAACTCAAAGTCCAACGAACTCCCACAGAGTTTGGGTAGCCTGTGGCCTCACTGAACAAAACGAGCGCTATTTTCTACTCCAGGTTACATCAAATTCAGAGTACGGTTTCTTGTTTACCTGGAATGGATTGCGCTGAATTCAGACTTCTCAGTGATTTAGCTGGGCAGAATGCCATATAGTCCCTTAAAAACCATCCTCACTTTTATCATCGCCACTCGCTCTTAAAATGGGACGATGTTAAGATTGCCGAGTAGAGCCGTAGAGGGGACATCCAAGGTAGCGTCCATTCAGTTACTCTGGCAGTGCGCTCCTGAAGGCGAAACATGATACAGTAAACGCCCACGTTTAAGAAAGTACACTTTTTGAGGTCTGGTACAGCATTTCATTTTAACATCAATAGACAATCTCGAAGTCAAACTCCTTGGTAAATAACAACCCGCTTAATTTTGCTTCGCTTATATTTTGGGATATTAAGCGCCAAATTTCTGCCAGCAGGTTCTTAAATCGCTTGGTTCTTATTAGCGGTTGTTTACTGTATTGGAGTGAGGGATGAAGCTGTGACCGTAATGAGTCCGTAATCCACTACAGGCTGTACAATAGCATTGTACGACATTAACTCAGCAAGTGATGTAAGAAATCGTTTTGAAAGCTTGAGTAGACCGAGTCTCTTGCAGATCTTCCTATTGTCTTTTCTATGTGTTTGTTCCAGGTGGGTCTGCTGTCAAGATGGATTCCGACCCGTTTGGTTCTACCGACAGTTTCCATTACCTGACGGTTACTTGTACTCTGTTTTGCTGATGCTGATAAGGAGAGCTACAATGTCCGCTGATTTCACGGTGAGGGACAGTTACACCTGAGCTTTTACAATGGAAAAATCTGTCGTCGGCAAAGTCGAGGACATTTACACACTTTGCTTAGTGCCTGGTTGATCTTTTAAGACGGGTCAATAGGTTAATGGGGGCCTGGCACGCAACATAGTCTAAGACCATAATAAAGAGAAATGGGGTGAGGATGTCCACTTGACGAACACCGGTGGTTACTTCAAAGCCTTCAGACAAATGGCCATCAACTAACACGGAACCTTTGGAATCGTCATAAAGGACTCTGATTGCACTGAAAATCTTGGTGGTAATGATACAGTCTTTAAAGGTGGCCACTAATGGTAATTGTTTTGCCTGAAAGCCTTGTAAATTACGCGTTAGGGTATGCATCTGTTGTGTGCAGCCGCGCCCACGTCTAAAACCGGCTTAATTGGGCCTTAGGATTAGACCGCTATAAAGGGTTAAATTCTATCTAGTAGGATCTTATCGTAGACCTTAGCGTAGATGAACAGCAAGGTTATCGTTCGATAATCGTATTCGAGCTCTATACTATTTTAGGCTCTACAGTTCCTAAGCGAGTTAGTCCACTTGCCATTGACCAGGATATGGTCAAGTTACACGTGAGAGCCCAATGGGTGGGTCCAGGTCGACTGCCTAGTCCTTGGGCGGGGAAACCTGGATTACGCGTGTCGAAGGTTAGTTGCAAGGTTAAAGCTGAAACGTCTCTATCCGTTGTTTTTGGTAGTGTCGTGTAGTAGGCGGGGGCCCACTGCTCTTGAAGCTTCTTTGTGACTGTCTTGGGCGATTTTTGTGTTGAGCTGTCCGCCAACAAGATGAATGTCGTGACACTTGATGTTGTCGGATGTATGGGCGTTGAGCAGGTTGTAGAATTTTTTCCTTTTCGTCCATGTTGGCCGTCTCTGTTGAAGTATAGTGTAATAAGTCTTGGGCTGTCATTGAAAGCTGGTGGGAGTTGCCTGACTGGTATAAGGTCCTCAGATTGCAGTCTGATGTGATAATTGGATTCCTATGAGAGATTCGGTCTCTGTGAGCCGCAGCGTATCTCTCGGTTTCCCATTGCTGCTTCATGTAGTCAGAGGAATGACAGTGATCACTTCCCTTGGCCGAGTAACTGAGATTTCTTAGAGATTTCGGAAACGTAAAGTTGCAGACGGCTTCGCCCCCTGTCTGCGGCAATACTTGGATGATTGGTCCTAAGCATGCTGTTTGCCGGGGTGGAGTACTATGCAAACCATAGTTGGTGTATGGTGTCTCTTGCATGTTGGCCGTTGGTTCCTGTACGAGCTCATCCGCCCTTTAACAGGTCTTGTTTTTAGTCCTGCGGGGTTGGATACCATCCTCCTCCTAGACGCCGACTACCCTTCCATGCGGCAGGTGGTAATAGGTTACAATGTTACTAGTAGCAGGGTTACCCTGACCTGACCAGGGGTCTTGACTCAGTGATCAGGAACAGTCAACAATAGTTCTTTGGTTGAGTAATAAGCCACTTCGTGTAGTAAAGTGTATGAAAACCAAAGATAAAATATACTTGTCTAATAATCCAATTTGAATTTTGGTGAATCTCGTAATACAGCTTTTTTGATTTTGCTTCGACAATTGAAGGTGAAGGTTTTCCTTATCTTATCATGGCTTATTATAAGCATACCATTTTACAAGTGTTTTCTGCGTCAGCACAAACATCCCTTAGTATTTTCGTGCTAAATACATTCATTTGACACTTAACGCAAAAGCTCCTCATCATCTCCATGCCATCTAACGCCTCGATAAACGTGTAATTTCCTCAGAAAGGGCTACAATAATTAATGTGTAAAACTTATTGACTCAGGCTGAGTGTGATGTGTAGAAAATTGAGGGTGGAGGAGGGTTGAATGCACCATTGGATGCAGGTAAGGTTTTAATTCACGTACTATATTACGAAATGCAAACTGAATAAGGAAGCGTGGAATTCACGCCTTAGCAAAGGAGAAAGGGAACAAAACTACAGAACATAAAAGCTCTTTGACACTACGAAGGTTCGAGCTATTCTTGCGCTTCTTTGCATTAAAGGAAAAAACGCTGAAAGGAAATCTTGGTATTGCTGTTCGTTTACAACAGAAAAGATCAAGGGAAAAAAGGAGTTTGAAATCACAGCCTCCACATCGGCATAGCTTGTTTTAAGCTAAAAGACAAGCACTTCAAGTCATTTGCACTTCGTCAGATTGAATCAAAGCAACCAATGAAAAATCTTGAAATATTTTTAGAAAAATTTTAGTGCGATGTAACTTGACCATAAACAATGAGATGCAACCGTTTCATTTCCAGAGAAGGTCGGAGTCAAACCTGTTAAATTTCACTTTGCAAAATGCTGAAAAACAAAATTAGAACTAAGTAAAAATACTGATGAAGAGGTTTCATGCTAGTTTAATTTGAATGGTCATGAATGGTAATGATTGAGATAAAATACTTAGAGAAGGTCGGAGTCAAGCCTTTTAGATTTCACTTTGTAAAATGCTGAAAAACATCTGGTACAATGTGAAAATTCTCTCCTGAAGAGGTTTCTTGAATTTGAACAGTCACGTACAGGATGTCATCCCATGAACTCAAACGTTAGAACCACGGTACAATGTTTTTGAGTGATGTACCAGACACGTGACACAAGCGTTGAAAATATGTAGCGCGTATAAAGTGCTCTCTTCCTCAGTCTTCTTCTCTCTTTTAAATTTGACCAAGAGTAATTACATATTAAAGAAGAGGCCTGAACAGGAAAAAAACCTCCCTCAATAAGGGCTACAACGCCATAAATTTGGAGCTAGATATTAAAACAAAAAACAAATCGTAGCAATTTTAGTTTATTAATTTTCAGGAAAAAAATACATCAATATTGAAAAATTTAAATTAGCTAGAGGCAAAATCTGACATTAATTAAATTTATATTTTTTAAAAGAACTGAATCTAAAACCTAATACTAATAGTGACCAGACAATACGCATGGTTTCAGTTTGTGAATTCAGCAGTAAGCACAGGAAACCATTAGAACAGATTTTTTCACTATTAGTATTTGGTGTTACCTTCAGTTTAATCCAAAACTAAACCAAGAAATGATCGATTTTTTACCAACAGCTTCCAACGAACAAAGAGGTCTCGTATTTAAAAGTGACAAAACACTTTGATGAGTTGCTCTTCTGATGTCCAAACATGAAACGGTCAATGCATGGCTTCCTTTGTATACCTCTTTGTCCTTGACTTGAAAATTGGTTAATATTTTTAACAACAGAAATGGATAAAATTGTTACATTTTCTCTTTTGAAAAAATGGATACCATTTTGATTTCGGATCTGCGATTTTCCTCATTGTGGTAAGGTTCAATAACATTTTTCACGTTTTACCTGACTTTAAAAGGGAATGTATTAATCAAGCTTTCCTTCCCCCACCCCTCTAAAACAGTGCCAGCCTAGTCCCCAGGCGTTTTCGGCTCAACGGATCAAGAGAGAACGCCTAGGGACTAGGCTGGTGCTGTGCCACTGCTAAAGCAGCCTGTAGAACACAGCAAACAATTTAACATTGGATGAGAGGGAGGGGAGAGAGGGAGAGAGGGTTTTTAACATGTTTTTGCAACAATTCCGTAGGTTTCAGAGAAAACAGATGCAGACGAATGGAGAAAGATAAAGGAGAATTTGCTTGTTTTGTTTTGTTTTGTGTTTTTGAGATGGCAAATTCATCTCTTCAAAATAGTTGATAAAACTAAACGTTTGTGTTTCACTCCTGACCGATTTTATTTGCTACACAATTTCTTTCATTTCTTTGAGACAATGCTTTTTATGCTAAGACTATTGCTGGTATAGAAGATGACGTAAAAGGTGATGCGCTGATTCTTCAAAACGGTTTATTGTTAAATCACAAGTTTTAACAACTTTCAACTGAAGGCATTTTCACGCAGGCTAACATGGAATACCTTTTCATATTAGGAGCTAATCAAATCACAAGTTAAGAAAGTTATTGGAGTTTACAGTCCTACTACCCGAACCAGGCACTTAAAAAAAAAAATCACAAGGTTTTTGAAAACAAAAATGATCCCAAGTTTTTTGCAAACGGACCAATAACATTCATAAATATTTGAGGGATCTTTCTTAAGAGGTCAGGTATATTGTTTCAAACGGTTTTACAATTTTCAACGGTTGCCTGGTTGAACTTTGAATTTTATTGGTCCGTTTCCATAAAAAAAACTTGAGAATCTTTTGATTTCAAAAAAGAAGTTGTGATTAGATAAAAAAAAAAAGACTCCAAATCTTTTTTAAAACCTAACGCGTGAAAGCTACAATTACGCATGCAAACAGCGTAAAGACGCCAACCGTTGAGATTCCAGCTCCATTGTCCAGTACTGGATCGCACAGGTCAGTCTTGCAACAGGCCGAATTGCACTTGACAATCTTCTTGAAGTTGGGAATCCGTCGACCTATTCGGCTACAATCGTTGTCTTTGCATTCTTTGTCAAAGGCGCAACCCTTGACATAGTAAGTGTACGTCTTGTTTCCAACCTAGGCTTCTGCTTTCGCCTTGGCGCAGCGATCCTGACCGATTGGACAAGTTATCACGTCTGTATAATTTTTGCATTCATCCCACCCTCTATCAGCCTCGCACAATTTGCACTTTAGTCCATAACCTTAAAAAAAATAATAAGTAGATCAATGAATAAATATATGAATAAGTAAATGAATAAATGGATAGCCTTCTCTGGAACCAGAGCGTAAACACGTATCTGCCTTTGAAAATGCTTTTCAGGGTTACAAAAAGAAGTTCTCTTGTTTTAAACAGGGTAGAGAAACGAAGAGTTTTTGTGCTGACTCAGGGTTTGAAAGCCCACTCGGCGAGACACACCTCTCTTCCCAGACTTCTCTTGAGTGCCCCCTTCCCCCCCTTCCCCCCCCCCCGCTTAAAATAATGTAAGATATAAAAACACCACAGTCGAGTCAACAATTTAAAAAAGCGCATAACATGTCCAGTGATCCAGCATCCCCAGTAATATGCTGAGGAAGACTGTTCCAAAGAAGCGGCGCAGCAACAGAAAAAGCACGACGGCCATAACTGCTTATGTTAAAAGTACGTACGGTTTGCAGATTTATCTTTGAAGACCTATAAGATCCCGTGCCGGGACGTAACTTTGAAGAAGACCTTTAATATAAGCAAGAGTAAGTCCATGGAGAGTCTTGTAAGTAACGCTAACTTTAGGGTGAGCTTGTAAAATTGATCTTCTAAAACTATTGCCTCACCCCTGAAATTAGACTGAAATAAAGCTGAAATTTTGGTTTAAAATGGGGCAGGTAAGTATCGGAAGCATTCCGCAAACTTATTAAGGATTCTATAAAATCGTGTGGGAATTCCTATTTCACCGTGCATGATAAAAGGACCCCTGAAAATACGTATTAACCTTTATTAATTACCTAGCATAATCCGATTACAATCTTTTCTTTAGCCAATTAAAGGTTGTGGTCGTAGCCCCAAGGCAAATATCTTCTTGTAAAGACACTCAAATATTCTTTGAAAACGTGCTCTTGTGCTTGAACTTACAAACTGCGGAAAATTTCAAAACTATCAAATCCAATAACGTTTGCCCTGAACTTTTCCCTAGCTATTCTACAGAAACGAAAACAGAATAATCAATAAAAAGCTTCATACACTAAGCTTGCAAGGCTACAGAAAATCTGCCGCGTCGAAAAAACATCGGCATTGCGACTTCTCCTAATTTGCCAGATTTCTGGCTGTAAACTATTTGAAAAAGAAGTCTACGGCTTGCTGCTCCGTTACTGATGCTGTTGTACGTAAGTTAAATCATAAAATAAAATAAAAATCGTCACAGCTTCGTGACAAACAAGTATGTCTCGCAAGGCTGTTATATCAAAGTTTAGAACTGAACAAAACTCTGAAAAACTGAAAGACCGGAAGGTTTTCAAAAAACGCACCCTTAATTTTGTCCATCTGCGACTTTTTTTTACCTTATTATAAGGAATTAACGCGAATTGTTAAAATTCGCGTTCATTTAAGTCGCGTTAATTTTGTTGAGCGTTAATTTCCGCGACGTTAATTAAGTGCAGCGTTAATTTCCGAGCTCTAAATTTCCAGTATTTTAAACCCAGTTTTGGAACCTGTCCAGACACCTAAAAAACATTAACTACAAGCTTTCGTTTTTTCCATTTACCTTTTACCTTTCATCTTTCACAAAAGCTAACGCGAAGGTTTACAATATTTCGAGTTCATCTTCATCGTTGTCGCTGTCAGAAGTGATGTCAGCTCACTTTCGTTCAGTTTTGAATTTTTTTGCATCCAGTGTTGAAATAAATTTGTTCCAGTTGCCTCCACCAGCTGTGTCTTAATCGCGTTAATTTCCGTTATTATGAAACTCTACCTCCTCTTTCGCGTTAATTTTCTTTATTCGAAAGTCGTTTTCAATTAAATTCGCGTTAATTTAAGTCGCGTTAATTTCCAATACCTTAATTTCATGGAGCGTTCATTAGTAGTGGAAGAGGCCCCTATAAGTCCCGACCAATCAGAGCGCAGCAGATTTTCTCTCGACCAATCAGAATCGCGCATTTCACCCATGTGACTTATGTGACGTCACAAATGCCCATATTTGGGCATGGTTTGACACGTGACCCATGGAATAAAGAACACACACACACAAGAGTTGAATCCACATTGTTTACATAGTTTTATGGAGAGAAGAGCCTGGTAATTGAACGCATGCGTAGTGGGGGCCCAGGCGTTTACCCTGCGCAGTCACGTGAATGGGATCGAAGGTACATGCGCAGACCGCCCATTGTCTCCCCAGGTCCCCCGCATGCCTGTGAGCCTATTTCCGCGTAGACCTACTACGCATGCGCAAACCACGAAAAGTAGCCCCAGACCCCTCGCATCCCAAAAGTTAAGAACAACACGCTCTATAGAGGTCGACATCCACTTTTTTAATCAACACATCGCGAATAGAGCCTGGTTACAAGCGGGACGTGTGTGACGCCCTGGTGACGTCACGCCCTGGATATTAATGAATGAACAAAATGAAGGGTGTTTGCCTCTTGGAAGAAAAAGTCATGAGTGCTGGATGAGGCCATTTGATATAATGGTTGTAACCTGTGTATGACCATGGTTTGATTAAAGGGAAATTGAGTGCAGCCAAGGTGTCTGAAAAAACGAATTAGAAGGAGGGGTGGTTAGATCCAAGAAGCAAACTGAATGAGATACAGTCGACCATTGGCACGCACGAGGCGGTGGTTTATGGTCCAATGATTGACTGAAAAAAAAAAAACAGGCCTTCATTACAAACGGGACGTGTGTGACGCCCTAGTGGTGTCACGCCCTTGAAATGTTTGTTTACAATAATATTCTATTAAAATCCAGTCTTGATTATAATCAAAATGATCTAGGATCCAATGACTTTCTAATAAAAAATCAACGTCTTAGTTTGAGCATCTAGGAACCAATGACATACTAACGAAAAAAAAATCAACGTTTGAGTTTGAACAAATGGAGTAACCTGGACCATCCTTGATGATTAACAATACAGAGTTTATGAGGGATGGGCCAGCTTCGGAAAATCATGATATCTTGTATAATCCAATGGGAATCTAATCAAAAAAAAAAAATGGAGACTGAACATCCAACAGGGGTGGCGCCACCATGCAGACCTCCCCCTGCCGGGTGTTCAGAATTCCCATCCTGTGCTTTCTAAAATATGACATCCCCAACAGGGTTCATGGAGGGTGTTCACGTGACGTGAATACGTCCAACAGCGTTTGCACACAAAATACAACTGCTTCATCAGATAAGCGTGATAATATCTGGTGTGATTCTCTATTATCTGGGAAGTGGCTGAAAAAGGGAAGGGATATAAATAGCTCGTATGACAAAACGAGTATCTGAAACAAAAAAACAACATGTTTTAAAAACGGAGTGGATAACCCATGTCTTGCAACATCTCGCACCAATAACAGGGAAAGGCTAAATCATGCACGCGACGAAAATTCAAAAAACAACGACAACAAAGTAATTTAAGTGGATTCGGATATGGAAGGGCAACCCCTGTTCCAGTGTACCATTGCACGATACTGCCACAAAAACACCAGGCTGCGGAAGTGCCATGAACCCTGTGGGTGCTGAGAATAGCATGCGAATCTGCGAAAAAAATTAATAATAATGCTCTGTCTTCATGAGTAAGAAAGCAAGGCGGTCTCGGAACCAGCGGCTGTTGCCGATGTGGGTACGCGTATCTAAAAAGCAGTATTGTTGCAGAATTGAACGAGTTGTTGAACACAATGAATATGGCATCGGTGTTGCAAGGGAAGGATCCACCCCCATTGGTCAATGACCTCAATTACATCTGAAATATTTCATGAAGTTGGATTACACATTTGACAGTGCTATAATGACATCTTAATTGAATGGGACGTATCCAATCTCCATATTCTTTTAACGTAAAATGAAAGCCTACAAAGAGGTAGAAAGTGGACGAATCAGGATGCGAAAAAAAGGAGAGTTTAAAGAGGACACTCTCGGGATCCATTGCAAATGATGACGTAACAGGCAATGTGTGCCTGTGAAAAAATGAACTAAAAATTAATCCTCTAAAAAGCCCAGGGCCTCCAAATCCGCATCACCCACAGGACCATGCTCCCGGAGAAACGAATTGATCCTAAAGGTCATACGAAGGGGCCATTCGTCCCAATCTCGATGGTTGGGGTCCCCACTCTGTACATATTCTACAATTTCATCTTCGGTGAGGGTCCCCACCCTGAGGCCTGCAATCATGTCATCAAGTCTGAATCCATCCATCATACGCTCACAATGGTTGCACACCCCGCCATGGGTGGGATGGGCGACCCATTGATAAATGTGGCAGACGGGTTGGTTTTCTACATATTCCCAAGAATCTAACAAATGAAAAAATCAACATGAACAGTTTGGAACCCAGAACCGCGCGGCCCAATTGAGTCTGGCACGTCGAGGGCAAAGACATAGGTGGACTGGCCACAGCACGGTTCGTAAAAACTCGAACCCCTTGAATACTTCTATAAAAATCAAAAAAAAGGTATAAGGAAAAAGGGTCCCACACCCGAAAAAATGAAAAGCCATAAAACTCACCAGCCATACGGCGTCGATGGACCTCGTGATCCAGTTTCCTGGCAACGGGATGATCCCACGGGAACGTTTTGGCCCAGGCACGTAACTCCTCGTGGGTGCAGCGTCTAAACAGCGTGCGGAACAACTCGTGGCCCATGGGTAGGTGATGCAAGATCTTCAGCATATCTATCAGGATCGCAATCGGCACGGAAAATAATACGATAGACTGGAGCGAACTCACCATGTTGAATAGCAACGCTGATCAAACTGGAATGAGCTCACACGGAGCGCACAACGTGATTTAGAGACTTGATGAGAGAAGCTGATTGGTGGAGAGACATCACGTGGGGGAGTTTGATCACGAGAGGAGACTCTAGGGGGTGCCCCCCATGGGTACACTTTTTTGGGTGGACCCCAAGTCCTGGCGCGAGTGGGTGATTGGTCCAAGAAACGGATAACTAAGGCAGACTAGAGCGGAGAGGTCCATTCCATGCTTGGCGCTGTCAACATGGACTGCCGAGGGTTAGTGGATCCTGAGAATAAGCCGTTTGGCCGTGTGTTGCCGTTAGAAGTGCAAGTGAAGATTATGTTTTGGGTGGAGTGTTTTTACACCATGGACAAGCGTAAGAAGGTGGTGCAAGAGTTGAAAGGGTTGCCCAAATGCGAGCTGACAGGGTTTCCTCAACATCTGGGCGGAGATCGGCGGTGGAACCAAACGGTGGTGCGGTTGCATGCCCCCAGGAAAAATGGTTGCCACCATTGCCATCGTATGATGGATCACCGGTTGTCGGTGAGTGATTTTTTTCAAAGTCCCATTCTTTTCATGACCTTGACGCTGAGAAAACTATTTTTCTGTTTTGTAGATTGGCATGATGGCGGAAATGGCACGGGTTCCTCCCAATCTGGACAAGCTGATGAATGAGGGCATTGCGTTCATCATTGACCGCTTCAAGCATCGGATCCCCCAGTGTCCCTTGGGTGAACACCCCGTCATGATTGGTCGGAGAAAGCGAGCCTACAATACCCTGGACAAAGTGATGAATAGACTGGATTTGATTATGAACACCATGGGAGCCATGAATTTTATTGTCATTGACTTGTCTTGAGATTAAAAAAAACAAGTGATTTGATCTATAGAGCAGTGTTCTTTTTATGTTCATTTGCGTTTGAATAAAGCTTCCAGGGTGGGATAGAGGACTGGGTCTTCTTCTCGGGTGCCGACAATGGCCGTCTTGTCTTGGAGGGTGGGTAAGGTAATTTGTTCCTCGGTCATGCCGTCACAGACTTGATACTCTTGGGAGGTGGGATTCCACCAACACCATTGTTCCTTATCCACATCAAACACATAGAGGGGTTTGCCTAAAAGCTGGGCCATGACCACACCCCATCCTGTGCCACCCAACAGATGCTTGCCGAGTTCGTCAAAATGGCCCAAAGCGAGGACGAGGGACGCAGACTGGATCACATAATAATTGCGTTGGATATACTGGAGGCTGATGGGATGATGAATTTGTCGACCCAATCGAAACGCCACCTGGGTGACGGTAGGTGTGGCGGCATCCAACTGGGACTGGGTCAAGGGCGCGAGGGACTTGGATCGAGGGTGACAGGGTGGGATAAAGACCACACAGGTATGACCATACAAGTGACATAATCGCTCCACATGCATGTCCACGCCTTTAGCACCGCCTGTGTAAATGAGCATGGTCTGAAAAAAAAAAAAAGTCAGTGTTTATGATGAGGGTGTTTATAATGAGGGATAGGCGTCCAAGCCCACATGGTATGCGGTTCATCATCGGCGTACATCAGGGGCACATCCCATTCCCGCTGGGTCACGGTTTGTTCAAAGACATGTAAGACGCTACGACAATCACTGCAATTATCCGGGATCCAATCCAGTCCTTGACCGTTGGCAAACGCCTGGTCTTTGGCCTCGGTACAATGGTTGCATAACAGATAGTCTAATAATCGATCACACCGTTTTTGCCACAATACGCGTTGGGCATTGACTTGCGAAAGGGTAGGTAGGACATTTGTCTGGCGACGTAACCATCCACTCATTTGACAGACCCGCACGTGGGCGCAATGATCGTGCCAGACCCCACTCCCTCGTTCCTTATGAGAATGATCCATGTACCAATTGCGTCCATGATCGTTATGAGCCATGACATTGGCGGTGGCAATAGGGAGATTGGCTAAGTCTGGGCAGCCCTGCCCTTCCAGGACCACGAGAGGGTAGGCAAACTGGGGTTCATGGAACAGTCGGTACAGCCCATTGAGCGTGAACACCCCCAACCGTTTCCGCTGGGGGGTGAGATGCTGTTGACACCAACGGGTGATATCGTCTCGCATTTGATCGTAAGGATGAAAGTCTTGGCGATTGTACGCTGTGTAGGGTTCGAAGGGCAAGCCATGCACCGTCTGGGTTTGACGATCGACGCGCGTTCGGGCTTCATCATATAATTGATGGTACGACACGCCTGGGGGTAACAAGTATTTGAACAATCCATGATGATGCCCCGTCCAATCACAAAAAGCCAGTTCTCGAATAATGTATTCGTCTCGGGAGAGGGCAAACCCCTGACTGTACACCAAGAGACCCACTTCATGGAGCGCCATGCTTACCGTTTCAATTGGACTGCGACGAATGAGAGGGGTCGTTGACTCCTCACTGGTTTTATAGCCCCTGGGGTGGTTTCTGATTGGTGGACTCACGGATCACACCACGCTCACGAGAGACCAGGACGAGTCCGGATTGGTGGAAAAAAGATCGTATGAGTATCACGAGATGCATCACGAGAGGTAAGCGGAGGGACTATAAAAGGCAGGCAAGACGTTCACCCAGAGTCAGTTCAGTCGAGGGATGGATCGTCAAGCCACTCAACCTGCAGCAGTGCCTTCGGGACGCAAACGACGTCGCGTGAGTAGTAAAAAACCCAAAGAAGAAGCGCCAGCCCTAGACCTGAAAGCCGCCCGTGAACTAGAGATGAAAGCCACCCGTGATCTGGAGATGACTCAGATCGGTTTATCCCGACCTGAAGCCGATGCCCTCGAAAAGAAAGTCCTTCAAGACCCGTCCAGTGAACTCTCGGTGGCTCTGAAGACCCTCTCCCGAGCTGAACTCCTAGATAGGAAAGCCACTCAACCCCCTACCAGTGGACTGGTGATCGCTCTCAACGCCTTGCCGAAAGCGGACGACTTGACGCCACTGTCCACACCCTCCCCCACCGACCAATCCGTGAACGAGTTGATGGAGGGCACCCTAAAAGACTATGAAGAAGAATGTGTAGAGGAAGGAGGGGAAGAGCTAAACCAGATGGACACCCAGTTCAACCAACTCCTGTATGAAGCATGCCCGTTTCATCCCCATCGATTCCTGGAATGCGTCAACCCCCAATCCAATTTTGGTCCCTTAAGGTTCGAGTGTCCCCAAGAAGGGTGTCCCGTCTATTTGTTTGAAGACACGCGAGAGGTGATGATGGAGAAATTGAAAGAAGACACACATCCTCAAGTCCATGCCCGAGTGAAACGCGGAGAATTGAAGTGCAAATGTGGGTTTGTCCCCAAGATGAAATTGAGTCGGACGGCCAAGAATTACAACAAAGTGTTTTTCAGTTGTGGGAGCTTTCTCACCCATGCCAAACCCTGTGGCTACTTTCAATGGCTCCATGGTCCTCTATGGTGTCCCCGAGAGCAAGCGCAACCGACCCTGAGACGATGGGTGAAAGACACACCTGTCCCTCTTCTGAAAGACCCCGAGAAGGAGAGACCCTGGGGAATGCACAATGTAGAGATGCGTTATGGTGAGAGGCCAAACCCCGTGATGGAAAAGTTAAAGTATGATCCATGGCTGAAACAGTTTGGCGAGTCTGTCCGAGCCCAAGAGAGAGAGTTTGAGAGAAGGCGCCATTTTCATAAGAACTTTGGGAGCTCGTGTTTGTTTTGAAAAAACATGTAGGTGTGTGAAAAAAACTATTAAAGACAAACTTGGACTCGAATCCTGTGTCAGTGTCTTGATGTTGTTGCCACGCGCTTACGAAGATCCCCAAGAACCTGGGGCCTTGGGTGGGGTCCAACCCTTTGCCCAAGCCCATAAATTGAAAACCCCGCAAGCGCAACAGATTCTTCAATCCGTGTTGAGCTATACGCTCCACAAACCCCGACGGACGCGGTTTCCCACCACCCCCACATTGGTCTTTGGCCGAGACGAACAATGGCAGATGGATTTAGTGGATATGCAAAAACTCAGTCGGTGGAACAAAGGCAACAAATATTTGTTAACGGTCATCGACGTCTTGTCCAAGTATGCCTGGGCCGTCCCCATCAAATCAAAGAGTGCCACCGAAATGATCCGAGGGTTGGACGCGATACGCCGACGGGCCTCACCACGACGACCCCTCCGTGTACAAACGGATCAAGGCCAAGAATTTTTGAATCGAAAAGTCCAAGCCTGGTTCAAGAAACACGACTGGCATCATTTTTTCACGTATGGGGATAGCAAGGCCTCGGTGGTGGAACGATGGCATCGCACCTTGAAACAACGCATGTACCGGTATTTTACCGCGCACAATACGTTACGGTACGTGGATGTGTTACAACCCTTGATCTATACCTACAATCACGCCTATCATCGCAGTATTGGGTTGGCTCCGCATCAAGTCACCTTTAGAAACGAGTCCGAGGTATGGGATCGACTCTATGGATCACGGTTGAAGCAAAAGATCCCCCCACCCAAATGTCGCGTGGGGGATCGGGTGCGTCTCAACAAGAAACATCGTCCTTTCAAAAAAGGGTATTTGCCAGGCTGGACGGAAGAAGTGTTTGTGGTCACACACGTCCGTCGTCATCCCGTGGTGACCTATCAGCTCAGTGAATGGGACGGCACACCTATAAAAGGCACGTTTTACGAACCCGATGTGCAAAAAGTCCAAGTATCGGACGATTCATTGTTTCGAGTCGAAAAAGTCTTGAAACGGAAAGGACGTCAAGTCTTGGTTCGGTGGAAAGGGTGGCCGGCCAAGTACGATAGTTGGATTCCCGCGCAACATGGTTCGCGTCAAAATAACGCCTCGAAAAAGAAAAAAGCGGGTGCGGTTTCTCGATGAAGTCCAGGCGGATTCCAGTCGACCGAGGGCCAGTTACACGCCACCCCCTACCACGGACGCAGATGTACTAAAATTTATCCAGAAAAAAGCCGCTGAACAACGGCAAACCCAACCGTGGTGGGAAAAGTTGGCCAGTCCC